CGTTATAACATCTCGATCTCTCGCCGTTTTTGCCGCACACCTTTTCAGTCAGAGGCAGTAAGAAAAAATAGCAATCAGGCCCTAGACTGTTATACTTTTTTGTTGAAAATATAAGATGCGCCTCACCGACCTTGCAACGTCTTTCGGATTTATCAGTCAGTGTACATTTCGAGTGCTCCTCGAATGTGGCCAAATAAAATAATCTGCACGGATGACTTGTATGACCGCTTATACAAGACGCGGGAACAGGAACTGCCCACAAAGCATGTGCCTATGCGCCAGCTTCCGGGAACGTAAAGTTTAAGATTAAGCTGAAAATTAGGCTTAAGGTCAGATTTGGAGTGTTAAGGTCAGCACTATGCCAAGGGTTAAGGTTTGGGGGCGTGCTAACTGTAGGGTATAGGTTTAAGATAAGGCTAAGGTTACAGTTTATGTTAAAGACATTGGCATATATACTCTTCGTCAAACTTATGGAAAGCCCACCCATAAAGCCCACTGGGAAAGGCGTTTTATTTTCCCTATCCCGTTTAGGCGGCCATACATGTCATCCTTACTAAATAACGAACGTGTGATTTTTTATATAATAACCTGCCTTCGGCATTCTTGCCTCTCCAGTATAGTGGATGAAAGTAAGGACTTTGTCTCTCCACTTCCAATACTTGATTTTCTGTTAACTGAAGTAGTTTTTGTTCCCTAGAAACCTGTTCTACTGCCTGCACTAAGTACCATTCATTTTGCCCCGCAGATGGTCTCCTACTCCCCCGAAAACTACCACATTAACTCCACGCACTCAGTGTTTGTCACCCTCGAGGGTACCCAACTGCGTATCCAGCGGCCCAAGAAGAATGTCCCTCGGCGGGCCATGTTCAATACACCCCCACCCTCAGCAACCAGTGTGCATTTTGTTCACCAACGCATCTTTGACATGACAAGGGTCATTGTCACCCTCCTACCTCAGGGCCTGATCGAGAAGAGACTGTGGAGCAAAAAATATCCCATCCGCCTGGAAGTCCAATCTGCCCCTATGTCGGTGAGTAGTACCTTTTGCCGTCGTTGTGTTTTGTGTTCTTTGCATGGGC